AACAAAGATTGAAAACCGCACAAAGCTGACAGAAAAGTTATGCGGATGTCCGAAGGCGAGACAGAGAATATGAAGTAGGTGATCACGCTTTTGTTAAAGTGACACCGATGAAAGGCCAGACTCGTTTTGGAAAGTATTTCGGACCGTATGAGATATGTCGGACCGTATGAGATTATTGAGAAAATCAATCCGGTGGCGTATCAAGTAGTGCTTCCTCCTAAAATGGAGCATATGCATAACGTGTTCCAAATTTCAATGTTGAGGGATTACCTTCGGGATCCCTTCCATGTGATTGAGCCTACCCGTGTAGTGCTAAGTGATGACTACACTTATGAAGAACGGCCTATTCAGATTGTAAACAGACTGATCAAGAAGTTGAGGAACAAAGAGATTCCGTTAGTGAAAGTTGATTGGAAAAACCATGGTGGCGTATATACCACTTGGGAAAGGGAAGACGATATGATCAAGAGATATCCTAAATTGTTCCCTTTGGATCCGGTATTCTTCCAAAACGAAGGTAATTCGAGTTTGGAGGACCAAACTCTTTGTAAGGAGGGGAGACTGTGGCAACCCTCACCACTGTTTACTGATAATACCACTGATCACTTCTAAACTGTAACTAAACATGATTAAGTAACTGATTTGACTGACATTCTGAACTGATTGATTGAGTGTATTAGTTTAAATGCATTTCTATCTGTTTGACTGTTAATTAATCTGTTCATGTTTTAAGTGTCGAACTGTGAATTGAAGGCCTTATCGGCGACCGAATCTGAAATTGATGATTATTAGAATTGATGTGATTTTATGGTAGATTTAATTGAAATTTGATTTGGTATGATTAAATCAGATTAAATAATGATTTCATGGAAATCCTCACATGCATGTCCATATTCTAGCTTTGGTCCATGATTCAGCATGTTTTTGGAAGGATTGACTCATTTGTTCTTGTATTAGAAGCTTTGAAGTTGATTAAATTCATGCATGTTGCATATACATCATGTTCTTGAAGTTTTGTTTGGAAATGGGTTCAATTGAACTACCTTTGGGCTTTGATTTTGCAAATTGATCTTTGAAACATGTCATATTATGAGTTTTAAAGTATTTTCCAGAAAATTATTTCAAAAGGATCGAATTTGATGCTTTAAATGTTGAGTTTCATGCTTGGAGACAAATCTGGAAATTCCAGATTTTGGATCCACGCTCGAGCGTACACTCTGAGTTCATACAGTCCGCTCGAGCAGGGAAAGTAACGCTCGAGCGTGAAATGCGTGTATTCAGTACTTTGCACATGTTTACAGTTCGCTCGAGCGGGGGAATGCATGCTCAAGCGAGGACTTGTGTCTCACGCTCGAGCGAAGGTCCAGCGCCCGTCGAGCGTGAATTTCGTGCATCCAATCCTTTTGCAGTCCGCTCGAGCGAGGAAAGTCACGCTCGAGCATAGCTCTTTTGTCTACATGTCCACTCAAGCGGAGAAAGTCACGCTCAAGCGAGACCCCTATTTTCTGAAAATTCTGAAAAATGTTTTAAAGTGCATCTTTGCATCCTCATTCCATCCTAGGCATTCCTAGGCCTAGTTTAAGGCATTTAATGAGGATAATGCTATAGAACCACACTGAGTCAAGATAGGGACTAAGTTATTGTTTCCCAAATGTGCAACTTAGTGTGTGTTCATCTTGTAACTGTGTAGGGTTGGCATCCGAGGACGTTCACTAGCTTATCTGTAGCCCAGAACTCTGTGAGTAACAATGTTGTAAAGATATATTCAATCATGAATATTTTCTGAATGATCAACTGTACCGTTTCCTGAAATGATAATTCTTACTGAATGAATGCTTGTCCTATTTGCGAACTGTATTCGTGGCATCCATAGCAATTTACTGTTACTGTATTGTACTGCTACTATTACAGAGATCTCTGTCGATTCCCATGTTTGGAACCACTACTGTTTACTAATATGATGGCCATCAACTGACTGTTCGGTCTGTTAAGACCTACTATACTGTTTGCTATTGGATGTACCACTTATGACTCCTATGATCGAATAATTGATATACTGTTCAAATGACTGTTTTAAATACTGGAAGGACATTCATTCTTAACCTCTTTACGCATCTATTATTCACTGGGCTTTGGCTCACTATTTATATATATATGTAGGTGTCCAGCCACCGGATCGAAACTAGGAGCGTTGGGTTTAACTCCCTTTTTGTCAAGCCAACCACTATGCCTCACTGAGAGGTTCCAAGTCCTTCAAGCTAGGGCTTTTTGGGGTGGTTTAGATTCATCCTTTCTGTCTCTGTTTTTGTATAGACTGACTGTACCTGTACTATATTGTTCTTACAGGGATTAGGTCCCTAACCTGGATAATTGTATATGTATGTACATACTGTTTTGGTTCTGAATTTGAATATGTATGAAAAGTCTTTTTGCATACAGACTGTCACAGCTCATTGGACATCTTTCATTTACTCTTTTGGCTTCCGCCAGCCCCTGTACTCTGTATTACTGTTATTACTGTTAAGCAGGCCTTCGGTAATCACAAATTACTGGCCGGTTACGATGCTAAACCCATAGGGGCGGGTTTAGGTCGTGACAAAATTTTAGTCTTGTGATGGCACTAAGTTCCAATACTTAGTCTCAACCAATTTCCAACACACACTCACACAATGAGTTAGAACAAGTAAGAGAGAAGGCAACACAAATTTATAGGAAATTCTCAACATTTATTATTGCACCAATAATACAAACCAATGGAAACTCTCATAATTACTTGACTGAATTTTGAGTTTCATTGTCATGCCTTATATAGGCTTACAACCAGTTACAAAATACAACCAACAATACAAGGAAAGCATGCCAAGTGGCATAGCAGTTGCAACTGCCTAGGGACTTAGGACTAATTTTGGAGCTAACTGCCAATAACTGCTCTTGACTTCTAGCCTTGCTTCCTAATTTCCAGCCTTGTCTTATCTTTGCCCCATCAAAGGTAACTGCTTCCAACAGACATACATAATTGCTAGTAATTGCCTTGTATGTTAGCCACGAAATTGGTTATCTTGGCCACCAGACCAAGTCTTGCCCACTGATTGTATTCAATCCCCAAATATGCTGCAGCCCACATTCAAGTCATATTAATGCCTTACATCTATGCAATGCAACCCATTCTTTGGCCAATGGTTGAGTGCTGCTATCCCACAACACTTGTCATATTCCCCCTTTGCTGTCTTAGCATGCCACCATCATGCCACGGCCTTGGTTGAACATAGGTGCAAGGTTGTAGGTTTTTGACAGAAATAAAGAACAAAAGCTAGCAAAAACAAACTTAATTTTAAGACTTCTTTCTTTTTAAATTTTTATTGATCATCAAAGCACTTATTTATACAACTTATCAAAACAGAAAAAGCATAAAGAATGCAACTAAATCTGCTGCACGTTACATAACAGAAACTTCTAAAAAATAGCAAAAGAGTAGGTCAAGCCTAACAGACTTTGACAACTTCAATTCAACATGTGTTTTATTAAACCTCAACACATCTCAAACATCAGCAGCCCACTCAGCTACACGTCAGTAGCTCCTGGGGCATCATTCAACACTTCTCCTTGGCTCTGGAGCTGTAGACTCTAAGCCTTTGCCTCAAGAACTCATACCTAAATTTGGGAAGTGCCTTGGTCAAGATGTCAGCATTTTGATTTTATGTTTTGTAGTAGATCAGTTGTATTTCTCCTTCTCTTTGTACCTCTCTTAGGAAATAGAGTTTCAACTTGAAATGTTTTGTTTTCCCATGGAACACTGGATTATTTGCAATTGAAATTACAGCTTGATTATCTACAAGTATCTGTGTGCTTCCATTTTGCTCCATATGCAGGTCTGCTATCAATTTCCTAATCCAAAGAGCCTGATTTACAGCAGCAGCAACAGCTACATATTCTGCTTCTGCTGTGGATTGAGCTATGACTTCTTGCTTCTTAGAACACCATGAGAAAATAGCAGAACTAAAGCTAAAACAATAACCTGAAGTACTTCTTATGTCATCAACACAACCAGTCCAATCACTATTAGAATAACCATGGAGTGTGAAGTTTTCAACTTGACAAAACGTCAGACCATAGTCAATCGTACGCTTAATATATCTAACAATTCTTTTTGCTGCTTGAAAATGAATTTCACTAGCACAGTGCATGTACCTTGAGAGTAGATTTATAGCATTCATAATATCTGGTCTTGTTCCAATTAGGTACATCAAGCAGCCTATTAAGGTTCTGTAAAGCCTTTCATCAACCTTTGCAGCTCCATTTTCTTTGCAAAACTTCTCCTTTTGATTCATTGGGGTTGCTATTGGCTTACACTCCTCTATGTTGAATTTTTTTTAGAATCTCCTTGACATATTTATGCTGACATATGAAGATCTCATTCTACTTTTGTTTAACTTCTATGCCAAGGGAGAATGTCATCTTCCTAACATCAATCATCTCAAAAATATCCTTCATTTCTTTTTTGAAAGTATCAATCTGCTCCATACTGTTTCTTGTCACAAGTAAATCATCAACATATAGGGATACCACAAGTATTTCATCACTAACCTTCCTGAGATAGAGAGTAAATTCACTTATGTTGTGTTTGGTTAGGGATTTGATGAGGGATTTGGAAAAGGAAATGGAAAAGATAGGTGAAATGTTAATAAAACATACCTATATTTCACCTAGTTTGACACACTTTTTCCATTTTCCTTTTCATTTTCAAATCCCTCTCCAAATCCCCCAACCAAACACAACATTAGGCTTTTGTGAAGCCTAAGTCTAACAAATGTGCATAAATCCTGCTGTACCAAGCCCTTGGTACCTACTTTAAACCATACAGGGCCTTTTTTCAACAGATAAACTTTCTCCTCTTTTCCTTAGACAACAAAACCTTCAGCCTGCTCCACAAAAATTTCTTCCTCTAAGTATCCATTTGAGAAGGCAAATTTGACATCCATCTGGTGTATATTCCAGCCGTTTTAAGCAACAAGGGCTAGCAACGTTCTTATGGTATCCAATCTAGCAACTAGGGCAAAAGTCTCAGAGAAATCCACTCCAAACGTCTGAGCATATCCTTTAACGACCAGCCTTGCCTTGTGTTTGTTTACAGAACCATCAGGATTGAGTTTGGTCATGTAAACCCACTTGACTCTTATGGCCTTTTTGTGTGCAGGTTTGTCTACTAGCATCCAAGTCTGGTTTTTCTCAATCATCTTAAGCTCCTCCTTCATTGCAGCCATCCATTTTTGATCTGCTGCAGCTTCTTCATATCCTGCAGGCTCTATTATAGCAACATTGCACCTCTGATAGATGTCAGAGAGTGATCTAGTTCCCCTGATAGGTTTGTCATCAATGTCATCATTCTCCTCCTAGAACTCAAGCTTCTTATCATTCTCCCAGCTCCAGCTATCTGACTCAAAGAATTGGACATCCTTGCTAATAATTACTTTGTTGTTTTGTGGAAAATAAATCCTATATGCTTTTGAAACTGAATTGCAGCCTACAAAGATCCCAGGTTCTGCTTTCTTATCCAATTTGTCTCTCTTAACCTGAGGAATATAAAAGAAACAAAGGCAACCAAATGTTTTTAAATTTTGCAGCCTTGGTTTATAGTCATACCATGCTTCAAATGGAGTCCTCTGTTGCAAAGCTTTTGTTGGCAATATGTTCAGCAAGAAAAATTACTGTGTTTGCAGCCTCGATCTTTGGTAGCCCTTTGTCATGCAGTAAACACCTTGTCATCTCCGTAAGTGTTCTGTTTTTCCTCTCAACCACCACATTCTGTTGAGGGGTATAAAGTGCTGTCAACTGGTGCTCAATGCCTTCATTCTCACAGAACTTGTTAAATTTTTTTGATGTGTATTCAGTTCCATTATCAAACTTGATCACCTGCATTTTGCATCTACTTTGATTTTGCACCCAAGCTTTAAACTTCCAGAAGATGTCAGCGACCTCAAATTTAAATTTCATGAAATAAATACAGTACATTCTTGTGTGATCATCAATGAAAGCAATGTAAAACTTACTGCCAATCAATGATGGTGTTTTCTAAGGTCCTCTTATATCTATGTGTACTAACTGTAGTTTCTGCGTAGCCCTCCAGGCCTTGTTTTGTGGAAAAGAAAGCCTTGTCTGATTCCCATACTGACAGGCTGCACAAGTAGGAAGCTCCTCTGCTAATTCAGGCAAGCCTTCCCTAAGATTATTCTTCTTCATAAAAAGTAGGGTTGTATGATGAAAGTGTCCCAATCTCCTGTGCCAAAGCATTGCATTTCTATCTTTTTTGTGCACTGCAGTCTGCTCTTGTTCCATCAAATTCAAGACAAGGCTTTTACCTTACATTTGGACTTTTAACACCTCTCTACCTTGTGCATTAGGAATCAAGCAATGATTGTCCTCAAACATCACCTTATATCCTTTTTCCAGCAGCTAACCAACACTCAAAAGGTTTTGATTAATTTCATGAACATATAAGACATTAGAAATTAATTTCAAGCTTATATGGCCTTCGATTGCCACTGTTCCTTTGCCTTTTATTGCAAGATATGCTCCATTTCCAATTCTAACTTTAGAAATGGCAATTTTGTCAAGCTCTTTCAAAAGCTCTTGATCATAAGTCATGTGGCTTGTACAACCACTGTCTATAAGCCAGCTTTTTGTGGAGCTATTGGTAGCAAAGCATAATGCCACAAACAGTTGCTCCTCTTGAGGTTGTTCAACAGCAGTTTTGGCTTCTCCTTGCTGCTGTTAAGATTTGCATATCCTTTCCACGTGCCCTAACTGACCACATTTGTGACATTTTATATCTGGCCTCCACCAATATCTTTTTTGTGGATGATTGGATTTTTTGCAAGAAGGACATGGTGTAAATGTAGTGTTGTTACTACTGTTATTGTTGTTGCTATGCTTCTCTTTCTTGTACATATTGTTCTGTAATATAGCTTGAAATGCACCCTCCACAGATCCTTCTTGCCTCATAAGTCTCCTTTGTTCCTGAGCTTGTAGTGCATTCAATAGTTCTACTGAGGTAATACTTAACATATCTTTTGAGTTTTCTATTGATGATATTATAGCCTTAAACTTTTTAGGAACTGATACAAGGATTTTTTGAACTATTCTAGAATAAGAAAAATCAGTACCAAGAAGCCTTACTTTGTTAACAATGTCAAGGAGTTTGCCAGAGTAATCCTTGATTGTTTCTGATCCCTTCATTCTTCGCATCTCAAATTCTCTGATCAGATTCAAAACTTGCATGCCTTTGACTCGTTCATTTTCTTCATACTCCTTCTTCAAGAAATCCCAAATTCCATTTGATGTCTTCAGTGTCATGATTCTGGTGAAAACTGAATATGAAACAGCTGCAAATAAGCTAGTTTTTGCCTTTGATTTCATTTGCCTCATCTCCTTGTGATTTTTTATTTGAGCCATAGTTGGATTGTCGAGCAAGGGAGGAACTTCGTACGTATTTTCAATGGCTTCCCACTGATCATTAGCATCAAGGTAGGCTTCCAATCAGACCGCCCGCATTTGATAATTCATTCCATCAAACATTGGAAGTGCTATTGCATTCAATGAAGCTCCTGAACTCATCCTGCGTTGGTTATAGGCTTTTGTGTTTTGGCTAGGGGAGATGGTGAGTGTTTAAGGTAAGTGGTTAGGCTCACTCAACCTCACAGGTCTCTCAAGAACTTATGACTCTGATACTAATTTGTAGGTTTTTTACATAAATAAAGTACAAAAGCTGGCAAAAATAAACTTAATTTTGAGACTTCTTTTTCTTAAATATTTATTGATCATTAAAGCACTTATTTATACAACTTATCAAAATAGAAAAAGCATAGAGAATGCAGCTAAATCTGTTGCACGTTACATAACAAAAACTTCCAAAAAAAATAGCAGAAGAGTAGGTCAAGCTTAAGAGACTTTGACAACTACAATTCAACGTGCGTTTTATTAAACCTCAACACATGTCAAAACATCAGTAGCCCACTCAACTCCACGTCAGTAACTCCTAGGGCATCATTCAACAAAGGTGTTGCCAATGCCAACCACGTAGCCTTCAAGTAGAATGTACTGACAAAACACCCCCACCAGAAGAAGCCAACGTCCTCATTGGTAGTGTCTTCAAGTACTCAACCACTTGTTTCTCAAATTGCCACAACGTGACATCTTTTTTCCAACTAGTATCAGCTTCAAGCAAAATTTTCCATTTCACAAAGTAATGGGTTCTCCTGTTCTTTTTGCTCATGCCCTATGTTTTGTGATCAAGAATCCTTTCGACCTCCTTATCAAATTGTTTTCGGATCATTAGTAGAGCTCTCTTTGCTTGCTTCCTCTCAACATTCGCCATATCTTCATGATAAGACTTTAGGAAGCTCACATGAAATGTTGGGTGAATTTTCAACCTATCGGGTACTATTAGTCAATAAGCCACAACTCTAACCTTTTTCATAACTTCAAAAGGACTGTCATTCTTAGAAATGAGTCCATGATGAATAGTCTTGCTACTGATCTTCTTCCAAATTTGGGGAGTCAGTTTCAACAATACTTCATCCCCAACTTGAAATTCAAGTGGTCTTCTTCCCTTATCAGTATACTTGTTCATGCGACGGGAGGCTTTAGACAAATTATCTTGTGCCTCTTCTAGCAACTCTTGCTTGGCACGTGCAAATCGATATGTTGCAAGACAACGTCCCCCTGTTTTCTGTTTGGCCACCTCATGAGGGGTGAGGGACTGATATTCAATGGCCAATTCAAACGGACTAAGGCCGATTGCTGAGGACTGATGCATGTTGTGGCAAAATTGTGCGCTATCCAACAAGTCCACCAAATTCTTTTAACTTACTGTGACATAGTGCCTTAAATATTCCTCTATCAAAGCATTCATGCATTCTGTTTGCCCATCTATCTGCAGGTGATTTGCTATGGAAAATTTCAATTATGATCCCATTAACCCAACCAACACTGTCCAAAACCAATCGGTGAACCGAGCATCTCAATCACTTATAATTTCCTTTGGCAGCCCAAAGTTCTTCACTATATTTTTGACAAACAAAGCCACCTCCACTGGGCATGCATATGGTGTAGCAATAAAAACCGTATACTTTGAGAAACAAAAACCACTATCAACAATAATAAAAATTGAACGCATACCGTTTACCTTAGGCAATCCTAATATGAAATCTATGGAAACAGAAACCTATGGCCTCATTGGAATAGGAAACAGCTACAACAAACCAGTTTCTGTATTGCGTTTTGTTTTGTCTAGTTGGCAGACCAAACATGTCTTAACATACATTTCAATGTCATCCTCCATTTCAACCAATAATAAGAACAAGATAAAAGGGCCAACATCCGCTTCACACCGGGTAACCAGCCCATTGCGGATCATGCGTTTCTTGAATTAATTCCTATCTAAGTCCCCCATTGCTAGGAACAAACAGCCTCTCTTCTTTGGCGTAGAGAAGGTCATCTTCCAACCAATATTTGCAGACAATCCCCTCTTTGACTTGTTATACCAACTTTTGATAAGTGGCATCCCCAATAGTATTTTCTCTAACTCTGCCTAGCAGATCTGAGTTGATGGTTGAAATGGCAGCCACATATTTCTCAACCACCTTCCTACTCAATGTATCTGCAACCTAGTTGTGCCAACTAGGCTTATGTTTTCACTTGAAGTTATACTCCTCCAAGAACTCTTGCCATCAAGTTTGTCTAGGAGAACTTTTTCTACATTTTGAAAAAAGTATTCGCTACATTGTCTTTTAGGACTTAGAATTTAGTCTCCAATAGATAAACCCTCCAGATGAGAAAACAATGTACCACTGCTGTCATTTCTTTCTCGTGGGCTGAATAGTTTTTCTCTACAGCATTTAACTTGCGGCTTTCAAAGGCAACTGGGTGCCCTTAGCATTGTCTGACGCATCAGTATGCACTTCAAAAGGATGTTCAAAATCTGGTAACTGCAACACTAGCTCAGTTGACACCGCAACTTTTAATTTGTCAAAGGCCACTTGACACCTCTCATTCCAGTTCCATTTCTTATCCTTCTTAAGCAAATTAGTGAGTGGTGTGGTCTTTTTAGAGTAGCCCTCAATAAACTTTTTGTAATAGTTGGCAAGACCCAAAAAGAAACATAACTCAGGAACATTACTGGGAGTAGGCCAATCTTGAATGGCTTGGACTTTCTTGCTATCCATCTTCACATAGCCTTTGCTAATGATATGCCCCAAGAATTTGATTTCCTACTGGGAAATTCACATTTCTCTTCTTTACATACAATTGGTGTTTCTTCAACCGAGAAAACACCATATGAAGGTGGGACAAGTGATCTTCCAAAGATTCACTATAAATTAGAATATCATCAAGATAGACAATAACAAAACAATCAACATAATCTGAAAAAAACATCATTCATTAAGTTACAAAATGTAGCAGGCACATTCGTGAGTTCGAATGGCATTACAATAAATTTGTAAGACCCATATCTAGTAACACATGTGGTCTTGGACTCATCCCTTTCAGCCACTCTGACTTGCCAGTACCTGGAGCGTAGATCTAACTTAGTGAAGTAAGTGGCCTTGCATAGACGACACCAAAGGGACTGGATATTTGTTCTTGATTGTCACTTTGTTTAAGGCACGATAGTTAACACCATCTGCATGGACCCATCTTGCTTCTTTTGGAACAACACTGGGGCACCGTAAGGGGCTTTGGATGGCTAAACCAGTCCAGCATCCAATAATTCCATCAATTGCTTGCACAATTCTACTAACTCTATTGGAGCCATTTTATAAGGTGCCTTTGTCGAAGGCTTTGCACCAAGGACCAACTTAATTTTGTGATTTGTGACACGTCGAGGTAGCAGAGACTTGGGCAATTCTGGAGGCATCACATCCTCAAATTCTTTCAAGATTACAGCAACTTCATCAGGCACTTCCATCATCACATCAGGCTTGATTTCCATTAAGGTTGTAAGATAGGTCTCAGCCTCTTTCTTTAAGCCATTGTGCACTTGAATTGCTGAGCGTGTCTCTGTTTTCCTCTTCATGCCCTTGCATGTGTCTGGCTTGCCATAACCATGAACAAAGCAAGGTCTATCTTTATCCAAGATAAGTAACCCACCAAGATAAGGCATTAGTGCCACTTTGGCAGTCACAAAGAAGTCATTTCCGAGGATGACATCAAAATCATCCAATGGCACCACCATCAAGTTTATTTGTCCAACCCATTCCCCCATTTTAATATGCACTTTAGAAGCTATTCCATGTACCGATTGTGCAGTAGAGTTTACGGATTTGATTCGGCTTGGACTTTCAAAAACTTGTAAATCGAAGGACTACACCATCTTTTCTAAAATGAAGTTGTGAGTGGCTCTGGTGTCCATCATAGCCAGAACATCTCCACCACCCAACACTACTTGAATGTACATCAAATCGGTCAAAGGGGCCTTATCCGCATGAATTGCATTTTAATAATTGCAAGGGATTTACCTGAGTTGGGTTATCACTATCTGTGTCCCCCATATTGTCTTCTACCACAATAGCATTCAATCTCTCCCACTTAAGGCAATCTTTCGTTCTATGGGGTCCATCACATATGAAGCATCCTTTGTTTGACTTTCCACCATCATTCTGTGAATGTGAAGAAGACTCCCCTTTCTGTTTGTACTTGGACTTGTATTTCCCTTTCTTGAAACCTTCTTTTCCCCACTTTTCTTCTTCCCTTTCTTCTTGGATTTACCGGTCATTGACACAGAATCCTTGCTCAACTTGTAGTCAAGCAACCCATCAGCAGCAACCATATCTGCGGCTAGTCTTTGACCCCCAGTTGACGTAATTCTAATTGTGCCTAACTTTGTAAGCCCGACATGAAGTTAAAGAGTTTGTCCTCCTCTGACATGTTCTTGATGTCAAGCATCAACGAACTGAACTCCTTCACATAATCCCGCACAGAACCGGTGTGCTTCAATCATTTCAACGCTTCTCTTGCAACCCAAGACGAGTTGCAAGGAAGGAATTGTTCTTTCAATTCCTTCTTCAATAATTCCCATGATTCAATCACTGGACAAGCACCATCCTCTGTTCAAGTCCACCACCACAATTTAGCATCACCAGAAAGGTATATGCTAGTGATCGTCACTTTCTCTGCATTAAGAACATGAGCAGCCTTGAAGTACTGCTCCATGTCCCATGAGAAATTTTCAAGTTCCTTGGCATTCCAAGCACTGCCAAAATCTTAGGGTCAGGAATTTTGATCTTGGAATGAGTGGGCTCACCACTGTTTGAATGCCCACAAACAGCTAGGGGTGTGCACGGTGCGGGTCGGTGCGGTTTGAGAGAAAAATAGAAACCGTATAGCGGGTGGCGGATTAATAAAAGTGTCACTAGAATTTTTCATTTTCCTTATCAAAAACCGGCGGTTCGATT